GCACATGGCTATCTTCTCTATGACAAAGGGTCTGGTTTATTTCTCCAGCCTGTGCTTCCAGTACCAGGAAACAGAACCTACTAAAAGAAAGTGTCGGCCGGGCGCGGTGGCTCAAGCCTGTAATCCCAGCACTTTGGGAGGCCGAGACGGGCGGATCACGAGGTCAGGAGATCGAGACCATCCTGGCTAACACGGTGAAACCCCGTCTCTACTAAAAAATACAAAAAACTAGCCGGGCGAGGTGGCGGGCGCCTGTAGTCCCAGCTACTCGGGAGGCTGAGGCAGGAGAATGGCGTGAACCCGGGAGGCGGAGCTTGCAGTGAGCTGAGATCCGGCCACTGCATTCCAGCCTGGGCGACAGAGAGAGACTCCGTCTCCAAAAAAAAAAAAAAAAAAAAAAGAAAGTGTCAGTAAATAGGTATGAACTCAGCGACAGCAAAAAACCTACCACAACTGAATGACTAAGAAAGTGAATGAATTTTAAAAGTGAGTGAGACTGGGTGTGGTGGCTCACGATGACATCGTGAAATGCTGTCATCTCAGCATTTTGGGAGGTTGAGGCCAGAGGATCGCTTAAGGTCAGGAGTTCGAGAACAGCCTGGGCAACATGGCAAGACCCTATCTCAACAAAAAGATAAAAAATTAGCTGAGTGTGGTGGTGCATGCCTGTAGTCCTAGCTAATAGGAAGGCTGAGGTGGGAGGATGGCTTGAGGCTAGGAAGTCGAGGCTTCAATGAGCCATGATCATACCATTGCACCCTAGCATGGGTGACAGAGCAAGACCTTGTCTCTCAAAAAAAAGAAAAAAATTTTTTTTAAAGTGAATGAGTGGGCTGGGCACGGTGGCTCACGCCTATAATCCCAGCACTTTGAGAAGCCGAGGAGGGTGGATGACCTGAGGTCAGGAGTTCGGGACCAGCCCAGCCAACATGGTAAAACCCCGTCTCTACTAAAAATACAAAAATTAGCCAGGTGTGGTGGTGTGCCTGTAATCCCAGCTACTCAGGAGGCTGAGGTGGGAGAATTGCTTGAACCTGGGAGGCAGAGACTACAATGAACCGAGATCGCGCCGCTGCACTCTAGCCTAGGCAACAGAGCAAGACCCCATCTTAAATAAATAAATAAATAAAGGGAGTGAATGAACAATAAATGAGTGAATACACAAATATACCAATTAATTATTAGCCACATTTAGAAAGAATCGAACACCCAAAAGAATAATGACTGTAATGGATTATCATATTGAGTCCATAGTGATATTCAAAAAAAGAGGAAAGGCTGGATGCAGTGGCTCATGCCTGTAATCCCAGCACTTTGGGAGGCCAAGGTGGGCGGATCACCTGAGGTCAGTAGTTCAAGACCATCCTGGCTAACATGGTGAAACCCCGTCTCCACTAAAAATACAAAAATTAGCCAGGCATGGTGGCACAGGCCTGTAATCCCAGCTACTCAAGAGGTTGAGGCAGGAGAATTGCTTGAACCTGGCAGGACGTGGAGGTTGCAGTGAACCAAGATCACACCACTGCATACCAGCCAGGGTGACAGAGTGAGACTCTGACTCAAAAAAAAAAAAAAAAAAGTAGGTGAAAGCACTTCTTTACAGAAGAATGCCAGTGAATAAACGTAGAAGAAATGACAGAGGCAGAAAATTACGATCTTGAAACCACTGTTACAATAGCCAGTTCAGGTAAAAATCATCTATGGATGCTAAATCCACTGGGTGAAAGCTTTTTTTTTTTTTTTTTTTTTTTTTTTTTTGAGACGGAGTCTCACGCTGTTGCCCAGGCTGGAGTGCAGTGGCGCGATCTCGGCTCACTGCAAGCTCCGCCTCCCGGGTTCCCGCCATTCTCCTGCCTCAGCCTCCCGAGTAGCTGAGACTACAGGCGCCCGCCACCGTGCCCGGCTAATTTTTTGTATTTTTAGTAGAGACGGGGTTTCACTGTGGTCTCGATCTCCTGACCTTGTGATCCGCCCGCCTTGGCCTCCCAAAGTGCTGGGATTACAGGCTTGAGCCACCGCGCCCGGCCGGGTGAAAGCTTTTGAGGGAGCAGTGTTGTCACACCGTCTCAACATAGCTTCCTGTTACTAAAAGGGCTTCCCTGGTACCATTACAATGAACACTTCGTTAGAGCAATGGGCCTCACCAATGGGCCACACTGACATCATGCACCTTCCGCTGTGATGCAGTGGAAAGTACACACAATCAGCTAGGTCATGTTCTTGCCAAAACTGCTTAACTTGAATCTAATTATGATCAATAATTTTTTTTTTTTTTGAGACAGGAGTCTTGCTCTGTTGCCCAGGCTGGAGTGCAGTGGCACAATCTCGGCTCACTGCAAGCTCCGCCTCCCAGGTTCATGCCATTCTCCTGCCTCAACCTCCCGAGTAGCTGGGACTACAGGCGCCTGCCACCACGGCTGGCTAATTTTTTTGTATTTTTAGTAGAGACGAGGTTTCACCATGTTAGCCAGGATGGTCTGGATCTCCTGACCTCATGATCCGCCTGCCTCGGCCTCCCAAAGTGCTGGGATTACAGGCGTGAGCCACCGCGCCCAGCCATGATCAATAATTAATAGATAAATCCAATTTGGTCTACACTCTTCATGCAAGACAAAGAGAAGGTTGGGGTGTGTTCGAGATTAAAGGAGGCTAAAAGGATATCACAACAAAATGTAACATATGATCCTAGATTGGATATCAGATTTTTAAAACTAGAGAGTCTTTTTTCCAGGCAACTGGGGAAATATCAATAAGGACTGTATAGTAAATAATATAAGGGCATGAAGCCGGGCGCGGTGGCTCATGCCTATAATCCTAGCACTTTGGGAGGCCGAGGCGTGCGGATCATAAGGTCAGGAGTTCAAGACTAGCCTGGCCAACATGGTGAAACTCCGTCTCTACTAAAAATACAAAAATTAGCCAGGCATGGTGGTGTGCCTGTAATCCCAGCTACTCAGGAAGGTGAGGCAGGAGAATCACTTGAACCCGGGAGGCAGAGGTTGCAGTGAGCTGAGATTGAGCCACTGCACTCCAGCTGGGCAACAGAGTGAGACTCTGTCTCAAAAAATATATATATTTATATATTTAATATATATAAATATATACATATATATAATGGTATGATGTTAAATTTTTTGAGTATGATAATGCTTTTGTGGTTATGTTCTTAAAACACATCCTGAACTGTTTAGGGATGAAGTGTCATTGTATTTACAATTTCCTTTTAAGTGTTTCAGGAAAAAAAAAGAATAAAGGGAGCAACAGATCAAGCAAGTGTGGTAAAACATTAACAATTGGTGAAGCTGGGTGAAAGGTTTAGGGGTATCCACTGTAGTTTTCATAGGATTGACATTTTTCAAAATAAAAAGTTTGAGGAGAAAATGAGTAAATTAATGAATGTATAAACGAACAAAAGAAAGAGTGACAGAATCAAAGAGGGAGTGAGCAAACAAGAGAATTAGTTGAGTGAATAAATGAGGGAGGGAGGGAAAAAGGAGAGATCACTAGGGCTCCAAGCTGCAAGGTCCCAGGCTCTCCACCTCCCATCCTGCCTCTGCCCCTGCATACTTGCCCAGCTGCTCCGTCTCCTGGCAGGACATATAGATGTTGTTGAGGCCAGAGGAAGGTGGTCAGGATGATCATGAGAATGAACATAAACCCGGCAGGGGGTAGGACAGGGGAGGGTCAGAGCAGGTCTCTGCCTTGAGAGAAGTCAGGCTCCGGGAAGAGGGATGAAGTCCTCCCTGGCTCTTTGCTCAACAAATATTCAATTCGGTTATTTATTTATTTATTGAGACAGAGTCTTGCTCTGTCGGCCAGGCTGGAGTGCAGTGGCGCGATCTCGGCTCACTGCAACCTCCGACTCCCGGGCTCAAGCAATTCTCCTGCCTTAGCCTCCTGAGTATCTGGGATTACAGGTGTGTGCCACCATGCTCGGCTAATTTTTTTATATTTTTAGTAGAGACAAGGTCTCACCATGTTGGCCAGGCTGGTCTTGAACTACTGACCTCAGGTGATCCGCCCGCTTCGGCCTCTCAAAGTGCTGGGATTACAGGCGCGAGGCACCACGTCCAGCAGGTTATTTATTTATTTATTTATTTTTGAGATGGAGTCTCGCTCTGTCACCCAGGCTGTAGTGCAGTGGTGCCATCTTGGCTCACTGCAACCTCTCAATCTCGGGTTCAAGCGATTCTCCTGCCTCAGCCTCCCAAGTAGCTGGTACTACAGGCATGTGCCACTACACCCAGCTAATTTTTGTACTTTTAGTAGAGACTGGGTTTCACCATGTTGGCCGGGCTTGTCTCGAGCTCCTAACCTCAAGTGATCTGCCCACCTCAGCCTCCCAAAGTGCTAGGATTACAGGTGTGAGCCACTGTGCCTGGCTAAATTTGGTTATTATTAACAATAGAGGCTGGGCCTAGTGGCTCACGCCTTTAATCCCAGCACTTTGAGAGGCCGAGGCTGGCGGATCATGAGGTTAGGAGATCGAGACCATCCTGGCTAACATGGTGAAACCCCATCTCTACTAAAAATACAAAAAATTAGCCGGGCATGGTGGCGGGCGCCTGTAGTCCCAGCTACTCAAGAGGTTAAGGCAGGAGAATGGCGTGAACCCGGGAGGCGGAGCTTGCAGTGAGCCGAGATTGCGCCACTGCACGCCAGCCTGGGTGACAGAGCAAGACTCCGTCTCAGGAAAAAAAAAAAAAAAGAGGCCGGGCGCGGTGGCTCAAGCCTATAATCCCAGCACTTTGGGAGGCCGAGGCGGGTGGATCACGAGGTCAGGAGATGGAGACTATCCTGGCTAACATGGTGAAACCCCGTCTCTACTAAAAATACAAAAAAACTAGCCAGGCGTGGTGGCGGGCGCCTGTAGTCTCAGCTACTTGGGAGGCTGAGGCGGGAGAATGGCGTGAACCCGGGAGGCGGAGCTTGCAGTGAGCCGAGATGACGCCACTGCACTCCAGCCTGGGAGACACAGCGAGACTCCGTCTCAAAAAAAAAAAAAAAAAAAAAAAGAAAAAAAAGAATAAAGGGTACTAAGTCCAAGCAGTCAAAGCTGAGGATGGAGTGGTCTCTCAGGGAGGGAATGAGATGCTGAGATTCTAAAGGAATGACACAGGGACAGTTGGGAGTCAGAATCCCACTGAACAGGAGTTATCATCAGAAGAGTCAGAGCCATGTGTGAGAATGAGTTGGCCTGCCACGGGGAGGCCAGAAGAATCCTGGGTGGGGTGGGAGGTTCTACCCCAAGCTAAGCTGAGCTAAAGTTGTTAATATTAATAGATGCAGCTAAGGTTTTTCCCACCAAGGACATTCACTGTAGTCCTGCTTCAGGCTGGGGACTCCCAGGGAGGCAGGCATTAACTACAGGCACTGATTAGGTGAGAGGCCAGGTTTTGCTGGACATGATTAGGTGATAAGGACCAAGAAGGCCAGATAAGGTCAGGGGTTCAAAGAGCAGCTGCCGAGTGGAAAGGACCCAAAGGGACCCCTAAGTCCAGTGCCATCGCTTTTTCCTTAATGATGGGAAAACTGAGGCCCACAGAGGGGTCATGGAGACTGACAGAACTGGGACTGGAACTCCCAACCAAGGGCTCTTTCTGCTATCTATGGTTCGTAATCTTTTCTGGGGTCATGGGCCTGTTTGAGAATTAGATGTAAGTTGTAGACCCTCTCTGCAGAAAAATATACATTTACCCTCCAAATTTTGCCTGTAGTTTTCAGGGGTCTTTGGAGCGCATGCCTCTGGAGGAACGCAGGTCAAGGATTCCTGTGTTACCCAAGAGCTGGGGAGTTTTGGAAGGAAGTCAAGTGGAGTCTTCAGAGCAGAGCTCAGAGCAGAGCCGGTATGCACCGGATCATGTCATCGATCATCTTGCCGATGGAAATCTGCAGAGTGCCCAGCGACTCATGGGCCGGCAGAATGTAGGCCAGGTGGGTGAAGCTGAGCATACTGGTGACAGCGAAGAGCACCTCAGCCAAGAACTGGGGATCCTTGGTGTGCCACTTGCTTCGTTCTGTGCGGGGTGGAATGGGGGCTGTGGCTGGAAGCCAAGAGCCAAGAAAGAAGAACTGGAGGATTCAGGGCTGAGTTGAAGGGACACTCACCAGCCGTGGTGAAATAGTGGCAGGCAGTTGCCCGGCAGTGCATGTGGGCAAGCCCAGCCAGGAGGAGGCGCAGTGCGAAGGCAGCCAGGTACAGGGACAGGATGATCATATCCAGGAAGTTTCACCAGTCCAGGAGGTAACTGCGCAGGCCCTCAATCCACACTTCCTTGCACTCAAACCACAGGAAGCCTGAAGCGGGGTGGCAGGGAGCCCAGGACAGGATCGGACTGAACTTCTCCTTCTATGTCAGAGCTAGATTACGAGGCGGGGGAACCTATGAATGGCAGTGGGGTGCTAAAACATTATGGGGTGGTCAATGACATGTAAACATGTAATCTACTCTGGAACAAGTGATCTTATGTGAACATAAAAAAGACTCCTTGCTGATGCAGACATTGCTGGCGTGACTGCACCAATGATCTCAGTCAGCAGACACTCAGAAAGTGAGTATCACCTGGGACAGGCTGTTTATTAGGAGAGAATGACTGAAATTTGTTTCTCCGTGCCCTCCACCAAGTAAATACTGGACAAATAATTGAAGAATATTGATTTGAGGCTGGGTGCGGTGGCTCACGCCTGTAATCCCAGCACTTTGGAAGGCCGAGGCAGGAGGATTGCTTGAGCCCAGGAGTTTGAGACCAGCCTGGGCAACATGGTGAAACCCCATCTCTATTAAACTATTTTTAAAAAGTTAAAAAAAAATACAGAGTATCGACTTGAAGGGGCTCCAAATTCTCAGGTTGCTCAGGCTACCTGTGTTCCAGTGAGGCCCAGTACCAGACCTGGGGCTGGGGGTCTTGGGAGCTGGACCCCATTAGCTAGGCAGCCCTGCCCACGTTGCACCCTTCTCATTCCCTGGGTACAATCATGTGCTTTTCCACTCACTGTTTGTTCCCTCTGCCTAGAATGTCCTTCCACATCCTCTGGAAGCCCAGCTCACCTTTGTGGCCTAGGTCACATGTTATCTCCTCCAAGTAGCCTTCCCTAAGCAGGTGGAGTGAATTTCCCGGGGTTTTGTGTTCTCACAGCTCATATCTCTGTGATCCCATCATTACGGGGCACTGCAGGATATCGCTCCACAGGTCTGTCTCTACCCTGCCTCCCCCTGAACTTGGAGCCCCTCAAGGGCAGGGACTATGTCCCCTCATCTCTGTCCCTGGTGCCCAGAACAAATTAAACAAATACGTCAAATATATATATATATATATAGAGAGAGAGAGAGAGAGAGAGACAGAGTCTTGCTCTCTGTCCCCCAGGCTGGAGTGCAGTGGCGCGATCTTGGCTCACTGCAACCTCCACCTCCTGGGTTCAAGCAATTCTCCTGCCTCAGTCTCCCGAGTAGCTGGGATACAGGCACATGCCACCATACTTGACTAATTTTTGTATTTTTTAGTAGAGACAGGGTTTCACCATGTTGGCCAGGTTGGTCTCGAACTCTTGACCTCAGGAGATACACCCGCCTCGGCCTCCCCAAGTCTTGGGATTACAGGCGTGAGCCACTGCGCCTGGCCTAAACAAACATTTAGTAAGCTCCTACCATGTGCCAGTGGGAACCTCTGGTGAATAAGACAGTCCCTGCCCTCCCAGGGCTTACAGTCAGTGAGGAACACAGTGGGTAACCCAAGTGGGTCTCATACAGTGTGGTAAATGCTAAGACTAAGGAGCAGGGGGACAGAGGGACTGTTATGGGTGTTTAGGAATGGACCCTCACCCTGATTTAGGGGCCAGGGAAACCTTCTCCAAAAGTGGCATTTAAGCTGAGACCTGAAGGAGGAGTGGGAGCCAGCCAGGTGAAGGGGCAGTGCAGGAAGGGGCGAGTGCTCTAGAAAAAGTGAATGAGCAAAGGCCTAGACAAATGTGAATATCATGTGGTCGGGAGCTGAAATCAGTTCTGTAGAGCAGGAATGCCCTGTGAGGGTGGGGTGCACGCTCAGTGAATATGTGTTGGATGGAGGGGGCCATGTTGAACTTTTCCATGTACTCTTAGGGTTTCACTCATGATAGGGCATCGAGAAACATTTATTACATGAATAAATAGGTTTGTTTCATATGTTTCTAAGACTTTTCTTCTCCCATGGGTAGGAATTCTATTGGTTTCCTCTCCACTCAGCACAGGTCAATCCACGTTCAGTAAATAGGATGAGAAACTTTCCTTCTTGGGCTGCTCTTAGTTTCTTTCCCTAAAGTTTCTGCACCAGATTTCCTTTCTGGCATCACTGACTGGCCTGGTACAGGGTGGAGCAGTGGACTTGGTATACTGGTGGCTCTGGAGTTCACTAACCAAGCCAGAGCTAAATGAGAGGAGGACAGCCGAGGAAGGCGCCACCAATTTGGCCTGCTGAGCTGACGGGCCAGAGGCTGGCTGAAGCTCTGGGGATTCTTATAAACTGCATTTGCTAAATTGTTTGTGAATACTCAGTTCTGCTATAGAAGAAAAGAAAACAAATGGAATGGATGAAACTTATGTGTTAAGTATAGGCTAGTTACTTTGGTGACATGTTGAACAAATAAAGTTAGTAGAGTATGTGTGTGTGAACATACATAGAAAGAGATGGACAGACTCTAAATATTCATGATACACTGAATATGCTTGAAGCATATGAGGCCCTCAGTATTCATGAGATCTTAAATCAGCTACCCACTGGCACCAGCCGTTCTCTTTCCACATGTCCTCTGCCCAAATAATGCATATAAAAGTAATAGCAGCTCATCAGGATAACTGGCAAGCTACAGCTGTGGCCAAACATAACTGTCACTGTGTTTCTCCCATAGATCAAGTCTTGGGCCAAGGTATCTTCTTTTATTACTATTATTTTTTATTTTATTTTATTTTAGTTTGGAGACAGAGTCTTGCTCTGTCACCCAGGTTGGAGTGCAGTGGCGCAATCTCGGCTCACTGCAATCTCCGCCTCCTGGGTTCAAGCAGTTCTCCTGCCTCAACCTCCTGAGTAGCTGGGATTACAGACGCACGCTGCCATGCCTGGCTAATTTTTTGTATTTTAGTACAGACGGGGTTTCACCATGTTCCCTGGGCTGGTCTCGAACTCCTGAGGTCAGGCAATCCGATCGCCTCGGCCTCCCAAACTGCTAGGATTACAGGCGTAAGCCACTGCACCCGGCCAATCTTCTTTTATTTTTAAGGGATAGAGTCTCTCTATGTTGCCCAGGCTGGTCTTGAATTTCTGGCCTCAAGCAATCCTCCCACCTCAACCTCTTGAGTAGCTGAGATTACAGGCATGAGCCACCATGCCTGGCTCCAGGTACCTTCTGTCCATTGCACCACCCCCCTAACCCCAGCCACTCAAACCTCAACTCTGATCCTCATTACAACACCATCATAATTACACCACTTACGGATTTAACTCGCTGTATGATTTGAGTCTTTTCATTTGGTCTGTGAGACTTTCTGCTCCATGACCTCCAGGAGAGCCTGTCTTGCAGTACCTGGGGGCTGCCATGACACCAAGGTATGTTCCCACCTCGCACTGTGGACCAGGGTCTTATTTGTGAGAGGACAGAAACCTCCAGGCTAGGTAGTGACTGATGCCAGGGAGGGGGAAGAAGGGGTCCTTGCTCAGGGAGTCTACCACAGGGCTAGGTCCCCGACTAGGCGTGAGGGAAAGGGCCCTGTACTGTGTTACAGCCCAGAGGAGTCTGGTTATATGTTCAGGGGTCATCTACAAAGCAGGATCCCCCTGTTGGGGTGCTTATTGTGAAGGACAGGAAGGGGGGCCCCTAAGGGACACTGCCACAAATAAAGGGTCCTACACTTATACCTGTGACCCAAATCATGTGTAGTGAAGTCTCCCAGACACTCTGGCTGCGGCCACGGAAGGTGCTCAGCTGTGTCTCCACGACCAGGGACTCTCCCAGCAGGAAGATGAGGAACCACAGACAGGAGGCGGAGTGCAGCAGGAACTTCAGTACTGGGATCTTTAGCAGGCGGCCCAGCTTCCAAGGGAAGGAAGGGGAGTAGGGCTCTCAGTCCTGGGTGTCTCTCGCTCCTGCAAGCCCTTCTAGACTGCTCCACCCACGTGACTCCCCTTTCTCAGATTCAGTCACGCACTATTCAGACATACATTGAGAATGTGTTACATATCAGGCCGTAGACTCATATCTGTCATCTCCTTTCCAACCATATGAGGTAGACATTATTCCCGGCTTTTTTTTTTTTTTTTTTTTTTCCCCAAGAACTGAAGATCACAGAGGTAAAGTAACTTTCCCTTGGAGGCCCCACAGGCTCTTCAAACTCAACCATGTTAAAAAATAAATTCATGGGCTGGGCGCGGTGACTTATGCCTGTAATCCCAGCACTTTGGGAGGCCGAGGTGGGCGGATCACGAGGTCAGGAGTTCAAGACCAGCCTGACCAACATAGTGAAACCCTATCTCTACCAAAAATACAAAAAATTAGCTGGGCATGGTGGTGGGCACCTGTAATCTCAGCTACTCGAGAGGCTGAGGCAGAATTGCTTGAACCTGGGAGGCAGAGGTTGCAGTGAGCCGAGATCCTGCCACTGCACTTCAGCCTGGGCGACAATGCAAGACTCCATCTCAAAAATAAATAAATAAATAAATGAAAAATAAAGAAATTCATCATCTTCTATCCTATCTTGCTCTTCCATCTTCTTCTGTGTCCCCACCTCATAAAATGACCCGGTCACCCAGGCCAGGAATATGAGACATCTCTATGTGCTTGTCCTCTCACACCAGTCTCTCTAACTCCTGCCCTGCATCCCCAGCCCACCTTTCACACCCCTAGTAGAAGGCACTTTCTGAAACACAAGACTGATGGGGGACTCGCCTCATTAATCCTACAATGGCTGCTATCCTCTGTGGCTTATAAGGCTCTGTGAGATCTGGCCCCTGCGTGCTTCTCCACCACTCTTGATCTAACTCCTTTCAGTTTCTCTAACACTTTGGGTTCTCCCTCTCCCAGGCCTTCACACATACTGCTCCTGCTTCCTGGAACATCCCTCTCCCTATTCCTCACCTGCTCAGCAGGAGCAGGGCTTTTCTTCATAACCCCAGTGCCAGGCACCATGCTTGGCTCACAGTTGGGTCTCAAGGACATATTGGTTGGATGAAGGGCTCCCATGGAATTTGTAGTCGGGGTGGGCCTGTCTTTAGGAGAATATAGGGCTGTTAATAGGATTAAGGTTTTGGAGGCAGAGACACTTCAGTTTAAATCCTGACTCCACTATTTCCTGTGTACTTTTGACAAAAAGAGCATTGCCCTTCCCTGTGCCTCAGGTTGCTACCCTATATCCCTGAAGCAGAATGTCTGCCTTCCTCAGGGCTGTACTTCCAGCTACTTAATGGAAACATTCACACAAAGTTATATTCACCAAGTGTCTAGCCCAGGGCCTCATAAAACAAGTGCTCAATAAGTGACAGTTGTCATTAATCTTATTCTTAGTACCCGGGACTTTGGTGCCAGCCAGTAGCCAAGGCAGAGGAAGGGCATGGTGAGGAAGATGAGGAAGGCAACAAAGAGCTTCCAGATGGTGGTGTTTCCACGCCAGCCAGCCAGGTTCCCACACCAGATGGAGGACAGGACTTGCTGGCAGATGGGGTGTGCTACAAACTAAGCAGAGATGGGGCATAAGCAGAGGGGGAGGCCACCAGGCAAGGAGGAGGATGGGGGAGCCAGTTGGGTACACAGCCCTTCCTTCCTTGCCACAGAGATCGAACAATCCTTCTTTTCTCCCCACATCAGCCAACTTGCTTGTCATGTGACCATGGGCAGACCCATCACTCTCTAGGCTTTGGTTTATGGAGGGGAAACTGAACTCAAATATTTTCCTGAACTCTCTGGACCCTACATTCTTGAGTCTAAGTTAGACAGTGGTGGGTAGAACTGAGGACCCAAGACCCAGAACCCCCAGGGTCCCTGGCCTTCTTAGAGATATGGGACATTAGCCTAGAAGGTCTTGAGGAAGGCAGAAGAGGGAAACCAGGGTTTGCTGTATTGGGAGACAGGGCCAGGGGAGCCATTATGAAAGAAGGTTTTTGGTTAAGTTCCTGGTGGATGTTGAGGGTGGATGAGAGTGAGGAGCAAGGGGTTGGGGGAGGCTAAACAAGGAGTCTGTCTTTAGCTTGGAGGGGAAGATGTCTGAGGAGGCAGGCAATAATGGAATCTTTTGGGGGATATTTAAGGCCTGAGAGACCTAGTCTTATCTTGCTTTATAGAGTGATGTACTGGAATTGAATAGAAAGACTGGATTCAAGTAACTCAGGTCAGAGATAAAGCTGTCTGAGACCAGATGTCCTGGTCTGAGGTGAGGTCTTGGTGGGTAATGGGTCTTTCAAGGGCTGGGGAGAGGTTACAGGCTTATATTGAAGGTAAGAAGGGAGGCGACCCACAGGGCCAAGGGTCTAGACAGAAGGGTGCTCAGGACCAAGGCCTGAGGGGTCTTGAGGGCAGGAAAAGGAGTTGCTTAGGGCTGGGTCAGGGGGACCTAGAGGTGGCAGGGCAAGAGAAAAGGACAGGGAGGGGATATAGCTATGGCCCAGCTGACCCGCTTCTGGTTGTAGTTGACGGCCAGTTGCAGCCTCGCCAGGCTGGGGATGCCTTCCTCAAAGGCTAGGCCCAGGCCCTCAGCCTTGGGCTCAGTCTCGCTGTCCTCGGCCAGGTCGTTGAGCACTGCAGTGACCTCGTTCTGGTTCCGGCACATGCCCAGCAGCTCAAAGCCATAGTCCTGGCTCGGTGACTCCAGGGCAATGTACTCAGGCTTAGGGAAGGAGGTCCGTGTGTGCCTACCACCCTGTGGACCCAACCCCATTAAATCAGCCCACTCCTCCCTACCCCCCACGCCCACCAATAGTGGGCCTAGGCCACCTCTGTCCTGCCCTTGCACCATCATTTCCTACGTCTGGTGTCACTAGGGCATTGATTTCTTTCTTCTTTGCCACCTCGCCCATCCTTCTTGCTCTAATGAGGTACCTCCAGGGTCACTTTGCTTATCTAGTGCTATTGCTACCTCATCACTAAGTCACTTCAACCCAAACCCCTCTGTCATTTTTTCTGTCTCTTTTCCTTCCTCTTCTAATCTGTTTCTTGTCCCATTTTTACACCTACTCCTTACACCCTTCATGTGCTCATTTAATTTATTGGAACACCTACCTTATAAGAGAACTCGCGTTGGCAATTTTAGGACATGCAGAAATGAATAAGGCAGTTCTTATTTATTAATTATTATTATTATTATTATTTTTGAGACAGAGTTTCACTCTTGTCACCCAGGCTAGAGTGCAATGGCACGATCTCAAGTGCAATGGCATGATCTCGGCTCACTGCAACCTCTGCCTCCCGGGTTCAAGTGATTCTCCTGCCTCAGCCTCCCGAGTAGTTGAGACTACAGGCATGTGCCACCACGCTAGCTGATTTTTTTTTTTTCCCTTTGAGATGGAGTCTTGCTCTATTGCCCAGGCTGGAGTGCAGTGGTGCGATCTCGGCTCACTGCAAGCTCTGCCTCCTGGGTTCACGCCATTCTCCTGCCTCAGCCTCCCGAGTAGCTGGGACTACAGGCGCCCACCACCACGCCCAGCTAATTTTTTGTATTTTTAGTAGAGACGGGGTTTTACCGTGTTAGCCAGGATGGTCTCCATCTTCTGACCTCATGATCCGCCCCACTCAGCCTCCCAAAGTGCTGGGATTACAGGCGTGAGCCACCGTGCCCGGCCTACTCAGCTGATTTTTTTGTTATTAGTAGAGATGGGGTTTCACCATGTTGGCCAGGCTAGTCTCGAACTCCTGACCTCAGGTGATCCACCTGCCTTGGCCTCCCAAAGTGCTGGGATTATAGGCATGAGCCACCATGCCTGGCCAGTTATTATTTTTAAAAAATAGGTGGGCGTGGTGGCTCACACCTGTAATCCCAGCACTTTGGGAGGCTGAGGCGGGCAGATCACCTGAGGTCAGGAGTTCAAGACCAGCCTGGTGAAACCTCATCTCCACTAATAACACAAAAATTAGCTGGGCGTGGTGGCAGGCACATAATCCCAGCTACTCGGGAGGCTAAGACAGGAGAATCGTTTGAACCCCAGAGATGGAAGTTGCAGTGAGCTGAGATTGCGCCACTGCACTCCAGCCTGGGTGACAAGAGTGAAACTGTCTCCAAAAAAACTAAAAAAAAAAAAAAAATAGGGATGAGATCTTGCTATGTTGCCCAGGCTGGTCTCGAACTCCTGGCCTCCTCATCCTCCTGTCTCAGCCTCCCAAAGCGCCGGGGTTAGAGGTGTGAGTCACCGTGCCTGGCCTAAGGCAGTCCTTGGCTCCAGTTTATCCATTATCTCCTGGGTTTTACTTGAGGCCCTTACCCTAGAGAGCATCCAGGGATGGCTTTCAGGAGGTGAGGTCTGAATCCCAGCACTGTCCTCAGTTGGTATCACATTGGGCAAGGTACTTCCCCTTCCCAGGCCTCAGCTTCTCTGCTATAAAGTGGGGATGATACTTCCTGCTATGAACTGTCTCTTAGGCTGCTATGAGAATGGAGGGAAAGTCCTTTGGAAAGGACTGCCCTTTCCTGCTAGCTGTGCAGTGGGGGCTTTTCATTCTCCTATCCTTCCACCACCCCGGGTCACAACCTCCTTAGCCCTGTATTTTAACATTCGTGTTGGTTTCCCCACCTAATGGTCATCTTGGGGATGGGGATGGGGATCGAGTCTAGCTTGACACACAGGATCCGTCAGGGGATGAGGGATGGACATACTGGACTGGCGGCATTCCAGGACCCTTACTAGTCCCTGCCTCCAGGCTCCTCTTCACGCATTCTCAGTCCTTCCTGCAGTGTCTCCCCTTCACTCATCACCATGTATACTTTCACTACCTGAGAGCCTTTGCGTGGACTGCAGCCCTATCTCAAATACCCTCCCTGCTCCTCTTCACTTGTATGTAACCACCCACTTCCGTAGCTCAGCTTAATGCTACTTCTTCCAAGGAGTCCTCCCTGAACACAACAGCTGTGGCTTTCCTGACCTGTTTTCTGGGCTTTGGAAGCCCTGTTAGCACCATTTACAGCAGCACTGAATGAAGACAAGCATACTGGCAGCACCTTGTCCCCTCTCTCTGACTTTTCCCTGCTGTGATCATACGCTTGAGAGCCGCAACACACCATGCTCCGGGTGGGAACACCTAGCAGGTATTCAGACGTGATGTATTCTACTGAACATCATCTCCAAGTCTGTCCAGCTGTTTTTCTAGTTGTTTCTGTTCTCTCTCCTCCCTCAGACAGACCCAGGGCTCCCCTGGAGTGGGGTTGTGCCTCCCCCATAAGACTAGGCCCCTCTGGAGTGGCTGTTCTCTGCCATTAGAATGAAATTCTCTTGGGGGGATTCTTGACTCCCCATCAAACTAGAGGTTTCCTGAGAACAGAGGCCAGGCCTCGTCCTCTTTTTGTGACTTCCAAACTTCCCAGAACACCCACCACAGGCCCAACCATGCTCCTTGCGTGCAAGGTGCCTGAGCTCACGGCCAAGCCGGAAGGCAGCCAGTGTGGCATCCTCACTGGCCAGTGAGAAGTGGGCCTTGCTGGCAATGCCACGGTAGGTGTTGATGCGGGACAGAGAGAATTTAAGCAGGTCATAGCGGCGGGCGTTGCTGCACTTGAGGCAGGCACAGGAGACCAGGTGGGGCCAGGCAATGGTGTGGCCCTGGTCCATGAGCAGCTGTGCTATCTCGTACAGGTCCTTCTGGCAGGCCAGGGTGAGAGGAGTCACACCAGGTGCAAAGCGGGAGCCATCAATTAATGAGTCAAAGAAAGCCAGTGAGAAAGACCTGGTGTCTACTTTGCGACCCTTCTCCCGTTCCAGGTGGGCCAGCAGGCAATGCACCACTGCTGGTTGCTTTGTGTCCACTGCCACTAGCAGGGCCTCATGGATCTGGCGGAAGTCAAACTTGACACTGGCCAACAGCACATCAGTGATGGCCTCATGGCCCAGGTGGATGGCCAAGTTGAGTGCTTCCCTCCAGGAGTGCTCCTTGGCCTCTTCCACATTGTGCAGGGGCCCACCTGGCCCACTGCTTGTGGCCTTAACCTCTGACTCCAGCAGCTGCTGCACAAGGCCCAGTTGGTCCTCCTGGATGGCAGCCAGGAGTGGAGGTGGGAACCTGAGCTTCCTGTTCATGATCTCAGTCCAGTTAAGCTGTTGGTGGATGAAGGAGTGGAGAGGCTAGGACCCTGAGTTTCAACCCCCTTTGTGATGGGGCCTCTTTCACCCTTCCATGTTCTAGCACTTAACCCTCTATATCCAGCCACCATTATATTCTTCCTTGTCCCAAATACACACTGGCAAATATTGTCTTATTCATCATTTTATTGTGTAGATTCTCAGGTTAGGAAAATCAAGACTGTACAGTGGGGGCTTTCTTTTCTTCCCCCAATGGGGAGAGAATGGGGGCCCCTTCCTCAGCTGAGTTTGACTGGGGGGCCCTTCCCCAGCTTGACTTCCACCCTCACAGGAGCCCCCCAACAGCAGGGCTACCTGTGGGTACCCTGAGCAAGGGTAAGTTAAAGCAGGGGTGGGCTGCCCTGGCAGCCTAACCCCACATACAGGTGCACAGGATCTATTCAGACCCAGCTCCCCTCTTGCTGACTTCATCTCCCAGATGCTCTTTCCTCTCAAAGTCCCAGAGCCTCTCCCAAGGGCAGGCCCGGACATGTCCACACAGGAGGGTTTTGTGTGAGTTTTGAACTGGGTTTTTGTCAAGCCCCTCAGTTCTGACCAGGACCCCAGCAGAATCCCAATATCCTCTTTCTTCACCAATCCTCCCGCTTTGCCCTCCCCTGCTTTGGGGGACCTTTCTCCCCCTTGGCACTGCCTCGTCCCTCTCTTCTACTAGGCCTGGCCCCATCCTCACTGCTCTTCTCTTCTGGGTCCAAGATCAGGGTTCCAGGGGCTCTTCTCCCACCTACATAGTGATGTCTGCCACCTGCTTGGCAGCTAGGATGCCCCTGCAGTGCCTCTGGGCCAATCTTTTGTTTTATTCATGGGTAGAAACGGAGCAGAATAGGAGAAGGTAGGGGAGCAGGCTTCTTACGGTGATGGGGTCTGTGGTTGTACCCACCTATGCAGGCACCTGTGCTGGCAGGGACCGAAGGACTGAACTCCTGCTCAGTCTTTTCCTTGACTGTGCCTAGCATCCTCTTTCCTATCTATTCAAAATCCTGCCCTGGGCCCTCTCTTTGCAGGACCAGCTGCTCCCCCTCTGCTCTATACCCTGGGGACCAGGGGAACCGGTGTTAGTACCACAGAGTGAAATCTTCTGGGAAAGGGGAGAGAAGACATATTTGCTCAAGGAGGTGGGAACAGAATTTGGAATATCACAGCTTGAGGGAACCTTTGACATCCTCTGGCCCAACCACCTCCTTGTGTAGATGAGGAATGGGATCTGCCCACGGTTCTACAGCCAAGCCTAGAACTACTCCTTACTCATTAACCAATCTGGTCCCTATCACAGTTCTGTGAGCGGGAGGTTGGGAGATTTTTTTTCTCTGTTAATTCTGGATGCTAAAATAAATAACTTGCTTAGTGTCACACAGCATCACCATTATCTGATTATACCCAGGACAGGAGCCCACAAAGGAGACTGAGAGCTCAGTTCATGAGATGCTGGATGTCAGCCTCGTGCTCAAAACCCATATGCACATTCCCAGCACACCACAGGATTTTATCTGTCAGGCAGCATTTGCTCTTCACTAGGCCTCGGTTTTCCTTTCAGGAAAATGGGCATGAGAATGTGCACCACTCACAGAGGGAAAGACATTCTGGATGGTGTCCCAAGGCCCATAAGTTCCAAGGAGACTTCCAAGGGGGAAAAGAACAGAGCTGGCCTTAGGAGAATCAGATGCCATGGTCACAGAAGCCTTGACAACTGGGAATGAGGATCAGGCTAGGCACAGAGGTGCCCTCAGGCAGAGTCCTGAGGGAATGAGTGGAGGGGAGGAGAGAGGGAGCTTCGGCCTCATCAGCCCTTCTCAGCTCTCAAGCTATTCAGTCCCCATCTCAGTCTTAGAGGGTGGGGCAAAACCACAGGACCTCATGGCTCATGCCTGAGGGAAGTCCCCACATATACTGGCATGCTCTTCTATTTCTCTTGCTGAGAACTGCAACTGGCAGATAGGGCACTGAACCCAGGAGACAGGGGGTGAACTTTCTGGGGAGGACACCCACAGTACAGACTGGGACGAAGATGATGAGGAGGGAGAAGCTGGGTGAGGTGGGGAGGTCTCTCCACAAGTGGCAGCATGCTGGGGAAGAATCTCAATCCTGAAGGAGCCTATTTGGGGAGAGAAGGAGGTAAACAAAATGGCCTGCTCCCAGGCAGGATGTCACCCCCAAGAAGTCTGGATAAGCTATGAAGACAAATAACATTGATACACAGCAGACAGTGAGAAGTGCTAAGTCCAAGGGAATCAGAGAATCCTGCAGAAGCTTAGTTGGGAAAGATGATCTGGGCAGATAAGAGAACACTTGGCAAAGAAGAACCATTTGAACAGAGACTGAAACAGCAACCAGCATTTGGACATATAGGAAAAAGTTATGAAGGAAGTTCTAGGCCCTCTCCGATTGTGTTTTACATTGTTTGGTTTCATGCTTCGCCAGAGGGCAGGGCCCATGTCCCTTCCTCAGCTTAGCTGGCACAGTGTGAACAGGTGCTCAGTACACACTTGTCTTGAATTACACTTGACTAAAAATACAGTTCCACACCTGAGAGCTGCAGAGATGACAGAAGCCAGCACTCCAAATTCAAATGTTTCTTGGCAGTACTCTCAGATCTCCCATTCCTCCCTCAAGGAATGCCTAGTTGTCATACAACAACTCCCTGTGCACAAGCATCTTACCTGCACAAATTGGGCACAGTCCGCTATCCTGGTCACCACTGCTTTGGGCCTGGGGTCGGTGCTGTTTTTTTTGCCTTGCTCTTGCTGTCTCCCTCCTGTTTGGCCGAGAATTAGAGTTGGATACAGGCCTGTGAGAAAGAACAGTTAAAGAACAGCTATTAGTAAGAGGCCATAAGGGCTGAAGGAGCCTGGAATCAGAGCAAAAATAATGCAGAAGAGTTAATGTAGACCTAGAAACCCTGGTTTGGGGTCCTGGTTTTCCCACCTGATGTACCAGACTTGAGGGAAGACATTTAACCTTTGAACATCTGAGAACAGAGATTCCATTATTGCCCTTGGGTTATTATTTTTTAATTGAAATATAGTACACATACTGTAAAACTCACTCTTTAAAAATATAAATTCGGCCGGGCGCGGTGGCTCAAGCCTGTAATCCCAGCACTTTGGGAGGCCGAGACCGGCGGATCACGAGGTCAGGAGATCGAGACCATCCTGGCTAACCCAGTGAAACCCCGTCTCTACTAAAAAAAAAATACAAAAAACTAGCCGGGTGAGGCGGCGGGCGCCTGTAGTCCCAGCTACTCGGGAGGCTGAGGCAGGAGAATGGCGTGAACCCGGGAGGCGGAGCTTGCAGTGAGCTGAGATCTGGCCACTACACTCCAGCCTGGGCGACAGACCGAGACTCCGTCTCAAAAAAAAAAATAAAAATAAAAATAAATAAATTCAAGGCCAGGTGTGGTGGCTCACACCTGTAATCCCAGCACTCTGGGAGGCCAAGGCAGGCGGATCACCTGAGGTCAGGAGTTTGAGACCAGCCTGGCCAACATTTGCCTGTCTCTACTAAAAATACAAAAATTAGGCCGGACGCAGTGGCTTACACCTGTAATCCCACCACTCTGGGAGGCCGAGGTGGGGGGATCACCTGAGGTTGGGAGTTTGAGACCAGCCTGACCAACACGGAGAAACCCCGTCTCTAATAAAAATACAAAAATTAGCTGGGCGTGGTGGCAGGCGCCTGTAATCCCAGCTACTCAAGAGGCTGAGGCAGGAGAATCGCTTGAACCCGGGAGACAGAGGTTGTGGTGAGCTGAGATTGCCCCGTTGCACTCCAGTCTGGGCAACAAGAGCAAAACTCCATCTCAAACAAACAAACAAAAAACAAAAATTAGCTGGGTGTGGTGACGTGCACCTGTAGACCCAGCTTGGGAGGCTGCGGCAGGAGAACAGCTTGAACCTGGGAGGCTGAGGTTGCAGTGAGCCGAGATCATGCCACTGCACTCCAGACTGAGTGAGAAAGCACAACTCCGTCAATTTTCAATTGTTTTTATATATATATAAATTCAATTCAAAACCCTGTATTGACAGAGTTCTGTAACCACAACCATGTAATTCCAGAACATTTTCACTACTCCCAAAAGAAACCCAGAACCCAGGCTGGGCGCAGTGGCTCATGCCTGTAATCCCAGAATTTTGGGAGGCCGAGGCAGATGGATCACCTGAGGTCAGGAGTTCAAGACCACCCTGGCCAACATGGCAAAACCCCATCTCTACTGAAAACACAAAAATTACCTGGGTATGGTGGTGTACGCCTGTAGTCCCTGCTACTTGGGTGGCTGAGGCAGGAGAATGGCTTGAACTAGGAGTTGCAGTGAGCCGAGATTGTGCCACTGCACTCCAGCCTGGGTGCCAGAACAACACTTTGTCTCAAAAAAAAAAAAAAAAAAAAAAAAAAAAAAAAAAAAAAAAAAAAGAAAGAAAAGAAAAGAAAGCCTGAACCAGACTCTGGCAACTGCTAATCTACTTTAGTGGTTTGGAATTGCCTATTCTGGGCGTGAAATCATATACTATATGCTTTTTTGTGACTGACTTCTTACACTTAGTATGGTTTCAAGGTTCATCCATGTTGGAGCAGGTATCAGTACTATATTCCTTTTTTATGGCAGAGTAATATTCCACAGCATAGATATACCACATTTTATTTATCAGCTGATAGACACTTGGGTTGTTTCGATTTCTGGGCTATTATTAATAATGTTGCTCTGAACATTTGCCTGTAAGTTTCTGTGTGAACACCTGTTATCAATTCTTTGGAAGTATACACCTAGGAGCTGAACTGCTAGGTCATATGGTAACTCCATATAAACATTTTGAAAAACTGCTAAACTGTTTTCCAATCAGCTGCACTAATTTACATTCCCACTGGCAATATGTATGAGAGTTTCAATTTCTCCATATCTTTGCCAACACTTGTTATTGTCCATCTTTTTTATTACATCATCCTAGCAGGTGTGAAATAATCATTGTGGGGTTTTGATTGGCATTTCTCTGATGGCTAATGATGTTGAGCATCTTCTATGTGCTTAATAGCCATTTATATATCTTCTTTGGAGAAAATTCTATTCAGATTATTTGTCCATTCTAAAAATTAGGGTATCTTTCTATTGTTGACTTGTAAAGGTTCTTTATATATTTTAGATAAAAGAGCCTTACTGGGCCAGGCGCGGTGGCTCAAGCCTGTAATCCCAGCACTTTGGGAGGCTGAGACGGGCGGATCACAAGGTCAGGAGATCGAGACCATCCTGGCTAACCCGGTGAAACCCCATCTCTACTAAAAAAAAAAAAAATACAAAAAACTAGCCGGGCGAGGTGGCGGTCGCTTGTAGTCCCAGCTACTCGGGAGGCTGAGGCAGGAGAATGGAGTAAACCCGGGAGGCGGAGCTTGCAGTGAGCTGAGATCTGGCCACTGCACTCCAGCCTGGGCAACAGAGCGAGACTCCGTCTCAAAAAAAAAAAAAAAAAAAAAAAGAGCCTTACTGAATATATGATATGCAAATACTTTCCTCCATATTCTATGGGTTGTCTTTTACTTTCTTGACAGTGTCCTTTGAAGCAGAAAAGATTCAGATTTTTTTTTTTTTTTTGAGACAGTTTCACTCTTGTTGCCCAGGCTGGAGTGCAATGGTGTGATCTCAGCTCACTGCAACCTCCGCCTCCTGGGTTCAAGCGATTCTCCTGCCTCAGCCTCCTGAGTAGCTGGGATTATAGGAACGTACCACCACACTTGACTAATTTTTGTATTTTTAGTAGAAACAGGGTTTCGCCGTGTTGGCCAGGCTGGTCTTGAACTCCTGACCTCAGGTGATCCACCCACCTTGGCCTCCCAAAGTATTGGGATTACAGGCGTGAGCCACTGTGCCCAGCCAAAGATTTAGATTTTGATGAAGCCCATGAAATACAGCATACTCATCTTCAGATTCTGGTTCACTACAGGACTGCCTCTTTGCCTAGTTCCAAACCTGACAACATGTGGACAAGGATATCTTTTCTTCAATGCCCTTAGGTCTAGACCCACAGGTTAAACCCAGACACAAGGATATTCTCTGACCTTAATGAAACAAGACTGGGGGTAAGGACAGCTGCAAAAGGGCAATAAGGTTTGGGGAGGTGATTTGGGTCTTTCATGTTGATCTACTTACCTTTGGTGCTGCACTTTCCTTCTTTTCATTCTGCCCACATCATTCTCAGAGTTTTGCTCCTCTGCTCTGGGCTCTGTATTAGAAATGCTCATTAAATATAGCTCTTAAACAAAACAGTCTTCACATGTGATGTTACTTCTTCTAAGAATATTCTTTCTACCCTCTTTGCCTGGAGGCAAAGAGTGTGCCTTTCTCACTCTTCCAAGTCTTAGATGAAATGCTAATTCCTATGCGGCACTTTCCCTGGATTCTCTAATCTACATCCAGTCATCCAATTATGCTTTTCCTTGACAGTACTCATCACAGTTTGAAGATTTAAATTTATTTGTGTGACACTGACATGTGTTTCTCCACTAGGGAAGGAGCATTGCTATTTTATTTACTGCGGTATCCCTGATGTCTAGCACAGAGCCTGGCACAAACGATGCTTAATAAATATCTGTCAAATGAGTGACAATAAAAACTATCAACTTCCATTCGTCTGGTTATCCTGAATTTATGAAACACTTTGTATAGCATTTAATATATTTTAAAGTGCTTTCATAGCTCCAGGGCCCAGCCTATAGTAGGTGCCCAAAAATTATGAGTTCCCTTCTAGTCTCTTTCTCTTAAAATAATAAACTACATCTTTCCTTCTGTGGTAGACGGCTGAGGCTCAAAGAGATAAGGATTGCTGATTCCTAGGCCAGTGCTCTTTCAATTACTATACAATATTTGATTTGTCTTCTGGTAACAAGACACCAACAATTATCTTTTCTATCACATGAAGTTCCACTAGTGAGCCATCCCTGTATAGCAATGGTAGATTCAGGGAGGAAGGGCATTGCTAGGGACAGGAAGGAACAGGTCATGTGGACTCACCTGCCCTGTCTGGAGGACTGGAACCTGATTCTGCATGGTTGTTCTTTGGGCTTGCCACACTGACTGGAGGCACCTTGCGGGCAGCAGAAAGCACCATGTGGGCTGAACGCCCCAGAGTCCCTGGCTGCATCTGTGTTAGGATATTCCTGAGCTCTGAAATTTCCTTGGTATCCCTGCAGGGAGAGAGAGTACTTGGTTCCACTTGAAATATAGGTCTTATTCTGCTCACTCATGTCAATGGCATTTAAGCAAGAAAGCTAGTTTAATATACAGATAGGGTTAGGCCTAGAGTATGTGATTAATTTGGTGAACCCAGGCTGGTCTTGTGTGCTTGTCAGTGACTTGATAGCATTTCTTTTCCAGGAGAAAGACCTGAGAGGTGGCTGGGAGACTTCCACTCTGTCAAGTACATACGTATGGGGATGTGGGAAGAATGTCCTCCGGATGGAAGGATTAGCTAGCCAGGGGCTAGGACCAGACTCCTGAGCATCAGAACCCTGAGGAAAAAAAATTGAGATATGAAATACCAAGATTCACCACCAGGGGACACTGCTACCTAGTGCCAGGGCCTACTCAAACTGTCAAACTACTCAAATGACTGAACTTTTTGGGGACGTTTATTTCATTATTTCCTTCTAAATATTATCAAATAATATTGTTTAGTTTTTAGTATGATTTATTTTGTGAACAATTTTGTTAACTTGCAACTAAAAACCTACCAATTTTAAGCCACAATTTCTAGCCATCTATAAAGAGATGTGTGTGTATGTATGCATATAGATATGTCTCTAGCATTAGCCACCATACCTATCACAGGCATTTTATAACCTCCTTGCTCCAGAAATGTCTATGTGCAATAATCTCCCAAATAATTTCTTTTTTTTTTTTTTTTGAGACGGAGTCTCACGCTGTTGCCCAGGCTGGAGTGCAGTGGCACGATCTCGGCTCACTGCAAGCTCCGCCTCCCGGGTTCCCGCCATTCTCCTGCCTCAGCCTCCTGAGTAGCTGGGACTACAGGCGCCCGCCACCGCGCCCGGCTAATTTTTTGTATTTTTAGTAGAGACGGGGTTTCACTGTGGTCTCGATCTCCTGACCTTGTGATTCGCCCGCCTTGGCCTCCCAAAGTGCTGGGATTACAGGCTTGAGCCACCGCGCCCGGCCAATAATTTCTGCATAGAGATTTTATTTATATCGTAGTATGCTGGTTTCTTAATTCTTTGTCAAAATTCAATTTATTTGTGATTATACCCCTACTTTTTAAAAAAGAGATGGGATCTCAGCCTCGGTACAGTGATTCGTGGCTGTAATCTCAGCACTTTAGGAGGCCAAGGTGGGAGGACTGCTAGAGCCCAGGAGTTTCAGACCAGCCTGAGCAACATAGTAAGACCCTGTCTATAAAAAAATAAAAAAATTAGCCAGGCATGGTGGTACATGTCTGTGGTCCTAGCTACTTGGGAGGCTGAGGTGCTGAGGTGGGAGGACTTCTTGGGCTTCAGAAGCCAAGGCTGCAGTGAGCTGTGACTGCACCACTGCACTCCAGCAAGGTGACAAGAGTGAGACCCTGTCTCAAATAAAAAGAAGAAAAAAAAATTGGGTCTTGCTCTACCCAGGCTGGGATGCAGTGGCAGGATCATGGCTCACTGTAGCCTTGAACTCTGGGGCTCAAGCAATCCTCTCACCTCAGCCTCTCGAGCAGCTGGGACCACAGGCTCACACCACCATGCCCAGCTAATTAAAAAAATTTTTTTGTAGAGACAAGGTCTCACTATGTTGCACAGGCTGGTCTCAAACTCTTGGGCTCAAGCGATCGTCCCTCCTCGGCCTCCCAAACCACTGAGATTACAGGCACGTGCCATTGCACCTGGCCCCTAATTATTTTTTCTTTTTTGAGACAGTCATACTCTGCCATCTAGGATGGCGTGCAGTGGCATGATCTCAGCTCACTACAACCTCCGCCTCTCAGGTTCAAGTGATTCTTGTGCCTCAGCCTCCTGAGTAGCTAGGATTACAGGCGTGCACCACCACAGCCAGCTAATTTTTGTATTTTTAGTAGAAACAGGGTTTTGTCATGTTGGCCAGGATGGCCTTGAACTCCTGGCCTCAAGTCACCTGCCTGCCTTGGCCTCCAAAAGTGCTGGGATTACAGGTGTGAGCCACTGCTCCCGGCCTCCTAATTCCTTTTTCCTTTTTTATTTATATAAATTTCCTTTTTCCCTTACCGTAAAAAAATTTTTGTCTTTAATTTTCAACTCTGATTCTTCTATCACAGGTTATTTTAAAGGTAAATGTCTTTCTTGTAAAGCATGGCTTTGGCTTCATTCTACAAGGTTGAGTAGTATTTTCATTCTCATTAACTCTTTAATATTTTCTAATTACCATTACAATCTTTTCTTGGACCTAGCAATAATCCTGAAATTTTTTCTTTAATTTTCCAGGGTTTTCATTTTTTCTTTACCTTGTCTCATGAATGTTACAGTGAATGCTACTAGAAAGGGTAACTAGATAGGTGTGTAGAGATAGTTTATTTTAACCTTAACTCTAAGTGAGATTATCAGGAAATTAATTATTATAAAATGATTAATTATTAGCTTCTGAGCAAAGATTAGTTGAAATCAAGTGGCCTGGGTTCAAATCCACTTCAAGACTTATTTGGCAGTGTGACCTGGGTCACCCCACTAAATTTCTCTGTGCTTTTCTTACGAGAAAACTGGTGATCATGATAACCCCGTTTCACAGAGTTAAAAGCCCTATGTTTTGCTTTCACTATAACATACCAATTAAAATGATTCATTAGGAAAAAAGTCTATGACGTTTTAGGCATCCTAAATTATAAAACTGAGTGCCATCAATCTGTAATCTCAGCTTACACGTACCATCTGTCTCTTGCTGAAATGTTTCAGGTCATTCCTTCGCTACAGTTTCACAAAGTACCTGCATGTATGTTTCACCCTGCTGCTGATGTTCAATACCCTTCTGACAAGGCTCTGCAGTTGCTGACTCCCTTTGACTTCCATCCCACCATGGTCCTAGAAGTGCAGGGTAATGTAGATGGCCAAAATGGAAAAGAACCCTGAGAAACTTTTGTTTATCCTAAAACTGGGGTGAACATAGGTACTGGTTTGCCTGGAACAGTCCTACCTTGTATCTGTTGTCTCCGTATAAAAATAATAATGATAATTATTATTATTATGTTTTGAGACAGGGCCTCACTCTGTCACTCAGGCTGGAATGTAGTGGTATGATTATGGCTCACTGCAACCTTGATCTCCTGGGCTCAAGTGATCCTCCTACATCAGCCTCCTAAGTATCTAGGACGACAGGCATGGGCCACCATGCCTGGCTAATTTTTATTTATTTTTTTCTTCAGACAGGGTCTAGCTCTGTTGCCTAGGCTGGAGTGCAATGGAACAATCACAGCTCACTGAAGCCTTGAACTCCCAGGCTCAAGTGATCCTACCACTTCAGCCTCCTGAGTAGCTGGGACTACAGGCGTACACCACCATGCCTAATTTGTTATTTTTTGTAGAGATGGGGTTTTGCTATGTTGCACAGTCTGGTCTCAAACTCCAGGGCTCAAGCGATCCATTCGCCTTGGCCTCCCAAAGTGTTGGGATTACAGGCATGAGTCACTGCACCTAATTTTTAAATTTTTTGTAGAGGCTGGGTGTGGTGGTACACGCCTGTAATCCCAGCACAGTGGGAGGCTGAGACAAGAGGACTGCTTGAGCTCAGGAGTTTGAGACCAGCCTGGGCAACATAGTGAGACCTTGGTCTCTATAAAAAATAGAGGTGGAAGGTTGCAGTGAGCCGAGATCATGCCACTGTGCTCCAGCCCGGGCGACAGAGCGAGACTTTGTCTTTTTTTTTTTTTTTGAGACAGAGTCTCGCTCTGTTGCTCAGGATGGTCTCGATCTCCTGACCTCGTGATCCGCCTGTCTCGGCCTCCCAAAGTGCTGGGATTACAGGCTTGAGCCACTGTGCCCTCCCCGACTTTGTCTTTAAAAAAAAAAAAATTATTTGGGCCTGGTAGTATGCACTTGTAGTTCCAGCTACTGGGAGGTTGAGGCGGGAGGATTGTTTGAACCCAGGAGGTGGAGGTCGTAGTGAGTGATCACGCCACTGCACTCCTGTAATCCCACCTGTAATCCCACCTGTAATCCCAGTACTTTGGGAGACTGAAGTGGGCAGATCACACAGTCAGGGGATGGAGACCATCTTGGCTAACACGGTGAAACCCCGTCTCTACTAAAAGTACAAAAAATTATCTGGGCGTAGTGGCATGTGCCTATAGTCCCAGCTGCTGGGGAGGGTGAGGCAGGAGAATGGCATGAACTTGGGAGAAGGAGCTTGCAGTGAGCCAAGATCGCACCACTGCACTCCAGCCTGGGTGACAGAGTGAGACTCCGTCTCAAAAATATAAAAAAATAAAAATAGGCCGGGCGCGGTGGCTCAAGCCTGTAATCCCAGCACTTTGGGAGGCCGAGACGGGTGGATCACGAGGTCAGGAGATCGAGACCATCCTGGCTAACACGGTGAAACCCCGTCTCTACTAAGAAATACAAAAAACTAGCCGGGCGAGGTGGCGGGCGCCTGTAGTCCCAGCTACTCGGGAGGCTGAGGCCGGAGAATGGCGTGAACCCGGGAGGTGGAGCTTGCAGTGAGCTGAGATCCGGCCACTGCACTCTAGCCTGGGCTACAGAGCGAGACTCCGTCTCAAAAAAAAAAAAAAAAAAAAATAAATAAATAAATACTTTTTTTGTGGAGACAGCATCTCGCTATGTTGCCCAGGCTGGTCCTGAATTTCTGGGCTCAAATGATCCTCCCACTTTGGTCTCCACAAGTGCTAGAATTAAAGGCATGAGCCACTGTGCCTGGACTTAGCGTAATTATTAATAGCATTCTCCTTTGCCCTTAAAGTGTCCTGGTTTGGATGATAAGTTTTATGGTGACTCTATCTACAACTCCCCTTTAAAAGGTCACTTATATAATGAACATTTACACTAAAAGGCTACTTTGCTCTGGGCAATGTTCTAGGTGCCAGGAATGCATTACAGAACGAGACAGACAGGTTCCTAATCTCATGGAGCTTCATTTTATTGACTAGGCAGGATCACAGAGATCGAGCTCCACTCATGTCAGCTCTTAGCACTGCAGCAGTGGAACCTGGTAGGGCACACCGAACTGCCACTGTCGGTCCTTTTACATTTTTTAGCCCTTTCCACAATGGAAGAGTAGTCTAAGACCAAATTTGACTTTGTCTTAGCTCTCTGGATCTCTCCTAAAACTGCACGACAAAAGGATCTACTCTTGTTCTTTCTGCTCTAACTTCATTTTCTCTTCCCAGTGCTGCCTCTTCTTTTTCTCAGGAACCTCAAAAGGATTGACTCTTGTGAAGTTCGCTCATGTGAACTGGGATTCTTTTGGTTGTGAAAGGTTTGAAACTTCTAGGAAAGTTTCTTGTGTGCACAAGAGGCAGAGTGTGTAGTGTAGGCAGAGT